GGGGGGGGGTTTTAAATATAAACTGCTTTTCGAATAGTACGTATATCTAATAATATAAACGAAACGGAAAAAACTGCGATATTGTTCTCAACGCGATAAATGTTCGCGCGATTTTCCTCTAATACGTAGGTAATAGTTACATCGGTTAACTATATGTGTACTTAACGTATTGCGCACTGATATAACATACGCACGTATATGTCTATGTATCTTAATGTATTTACGTGTTCGCTTATCAATCCTTACCACGTTAGAAGCACAAAAACGAAATCTCAAACATTGCTCTTGATCTACGCTCTGTATACGCGAAGTGAAAGAAGAAAATATCTGATGAAACTGAGGAACGAGCTACTAAGTTGAAGAAAAGCGCAAGAATTCTAGAAGTCACTGAGGCGCATTCAGTGCATTAAAAAAAAAAAAAAAAAACTAAGTCTGCTCTTGGAGACATTTTGGACACCCCTTAATGAATTCGAATCCGGACGATTCGTTAATTAAATAACTAAAATAACGCTAGATAGAAGTGTCGAATAAAACACCAAGTGCTTGTATAGAAAAGAAATATATATATGTTTATTTATTTTAGAAGACATACGAGTGAAGTTGTGTGAAGAAAATTCATTTTAATCAACGTAAAAATTATCGTTCGACTTTAATATTAATTGTTTGTTAAGAAAAAAATTAAACGTATCGTCTGGAATCAAATCTTACGTGCCGAAACGGCGGAGGGAAGATCGCTTGTGCGATTCTACCACGGAGTGTGTTACGCCTCCTTCTCATCGATCACAAAAAATTATCACCATTTCGCGTACCCTCGAGTACGCTCGCGTAAATAATGCTGCAAGAAACTGTAATAGAAACAAAAAAGGAGAGTCGAATCAGAAGTTTCGTGCTGCCCGAGCTTTTATCGTGAAGCGTTTTTTTTTTTTTTTTTTTTTTTTTTCGAATATTATGGAAATAAAGAACTGCTCCGCTGCACGATTGTGACGACTGCTCGTCACCTTCCCGATTTGCTGCAATAATTGCGACTAATAAAGACGCTGTTAGAAAAAAAAACACTGTGTGTGTGTGTCGTGTACGTGTATATGTGTTAACGCGTGCGTGACCACGGCGTATCGCATATGACTATGACGAGAGAGATCACGAGGCGATTTTCACAAGCGGAACGTATGTTGCTGATATAGCGCGTACAGAAATCAGTCAACAAAATGAGTTCCTTGCGATTTGATCAAAGTGTCAGCCATTCGACCACTTCACATAGATTTCGAGTTCTGCATAATATACTTGCCCAATAAAGTACAACCTACGAACTATTTTGTTTAGGCTATCATCTTTTCTATCTCAACGTCATAGCAAATCTCAGGCTCTTATACGCTCTCACCGGATAAATATTTCAGATAAAATATCGGCGCCCATCATTATATAAAGTAAACTTGCCTCGCCAATGGTTCCAGCCATTTGATATTTATAACGTCTGGGATTCTTGATACTTATCATTTCCGTTATCATCTCGATAACAGCAGATATTATGATGTGCGATCTCTATGTGTTATCGGATGAGGTCTCTCTCGCAATCCCACTGTTCATACTTTTGCGCGATTTATGATTTAAGAAAGTGAAACAAACTTGCCCCTCGTGTCTCGTCGTCGATATCGTAGAACGCGCGCATTTGTGGCTTTCATGTGATTTATTTAACGCGTGCGATTGCATACGTGTAATCAGAATGTGCGTGTGTGATTTCTTTCTCTCGGTATATTTCTAAGGAGCCCGTATACGTTGCTTCGCACACATATTTGCGACGTACACGTTGAGAACGTACGTATATATAGATTTATATATACATATATTTCGATATATATATATACCTATAGTTGTCTAGCACAGCTGTAAAGACCCTTAT